CAGCGCGCTGCAGTTGGGAATCTGCGGCTAAATCTACTCGACTGTTATTCACCACCTCATGTATTCGAAGATTTCACCTGTGGCCCAAGAAAGGGGGATCCGTCAAGGAACCCTAATGCAGCATAGATCTAAGATTTGTGGGTGATTTCCAGAAAATCAGAATAAGAGTTACTCGCTTGTTAATTGTGGAGTTTCAGTAGACAACTCAACGTAGACAAACTTGTTACCCTCATGCGCAGAAGGTCACCGAGTGAGCCATTCTGGCATGCTGAAGATCCTCAGTGTTACCTACCGACATTGTTGGTAAGCAATATTAGGAACTACTTCCTAAATTTTTCTTCCGTTTTTCCCTCAAATTTCATTTTCGAAGAAGCTTAAATGGAAGGTCCGGTTTCTTCCGTGAATTCATAGCTCATATTTATTTTTTATTTGCAACTGCTTAAGAATCCTCTTGGTCCGATTCTTCTCCTTTACATTCCTACTGAACGGAGAGACCAGGTTCTTGTATTGCATTTGCATTCTTGCACTGGATTATGCAAACTGAAAAATAGCGTATACGACTGGCTCTGATTTGGTAGGTGACCAATAGGCTTTTGCTTTCCAAACAAGGTTGTAATGATGGCTTTCTTGTAGGCTGCGCATCCTACTGATATGGTGACGAGACAAATGAACGGTATTTTCACGAAGTCACGAAAAAGCGGCTCTGAAGAAGGCGATACTGCCGAAACGTCAGCTAGCGTTGAATTGTATTGTCTTTTTTATGGAAGCAAATGTATGCTGTTTAAAAACCTCGCGATTGCTGAACAAGAGAACGGTATTTTGTCAATGAATAAGGTCGGGATACAAGATGTGGTGACCCGATTGCCGAAATAATAGTGTTTTTCGTTGTTTTGGGAGGTTGAACCAGGTGCTGTAATAAAGTATGCGCATAGTGGCAATTTTTTGTGATAAGTTTTATAAGGGACGCGTGCCCCCAGTGTTCGGAGGCGTCTTGTAATATACCTGGGATCGACCTCCGCTCCCCAGGCTCACCATGCCCTTCATCTCTCCGTGGTCGGCAAATTGGTACCACACTTGTTCGGGAGGATACCGTGCTCTACATTTCCTCTCTCGTTTGGGCTATACGGAATACTTCTAACCCTACAATTTCGATAAAACGTCCGATAATACCGACAACTGTGTCATCCTGCTTGCATGCACCTATGCACACATAGATATAGTATTAGGAGAAACTAATTAACCGAACGATATTATAGATCCATTCTTTGTTTCGTTTAATACTACACAGCTAAACAGATGTAACGACGTTTCGTCGAATTTCCTGGTCCTACCTCCTCGTGACGATGCTGCGTTCTTTATAAGCTGAAGAACTTCCAGATGGTCCAATATGTCACCACCAAAAGTTCTGTGGGTGATTTCAATTAATCATAGGAAGGTATTCTATCATAAAGAGATATCACTAACCTTCTTTAGTAGAGAAGCTTAGCCATCGCTCCCACCAGTTTAGAATTCATATTAAAAAGTTTTCAAAACATTTTGCAAAAAAAATTGTTATGACGCGTCTTTTTCAAGTTTTCTAGGTTAATACTTCTTTTATATGATATTATCTTTTTCCATCCACTTGTTTTGCATAAACGATACTTTCCCTCCAAACGGTTTACCGCATCATCATGGCTGGGAAGTGTTCCTGTGTGTGGGGTTGCGATTTACAGTGGGGGAATTCATCCGTTTCAGGTTCTCCCAAGTTGAAAAAAAGCACTGCGTTCCCATCAGGAAGGCCAACGAAGAGTAAACCAACACCAGGATCCACTATCGTCCTGATATCAGAGTAGGCGCATGGTGGCAAATCTCCTTCTGATCCAGAAGGGCAGCAACTGCTTGTGGTGGTGACGACTTCGGGCAGACTTTACCTAGGCTTACGTCGGGACTGCAGGGAACTAGAATGGTTAGACCAGCAGAACTCTGAAAAAGTCTAAATTATGCTGGCGTCCGCACATCAGTGAAGATTGGCCAACCGTGTATCGAAGGTAAGTAAGTTGTTAAAGATGGCGGATGTGGCTTTGCCGTCACACTTAACAGCACAAGGCAAGCGTCCTTCCTCACTGCATTGCCAAAAATTTCTTAAATATTGAAAAAACTATTAATACCTATATGTTCCTCTATGTTTCGTGTATAAATATATATATGCCTACCAGCGGTTTACCGCCACATCGCGACTTGGTGTTTCTGGGTGTCAGGGTGTGATGTATATAGAGCGGGGGATTCGTTCTCCTGACGAGGTCTCCCAAGCTGGGAAGGAAATCGACGTTTCCTTCCATTAAGAAGCCCAGCTATAAGCAAACCAGCACCAGGGTCCACCATAGTCATAGTATCGAACTAGTCGCATGGTGACAAATCTCCCTCGGATCCACAAGAGAGGGGTCTGTCTGTGGTGGTGACGACCTGGGCAGACTTTGGCCAGGCTGACTTCGGGACTCCAAGAAATCACAAGGACTAAACCAGCACAACACTGAAAAAATCTAAATTATACTGAGGCCCGCACAACCAGTGAAGATTCTGAGAAACTCAGAATAAAGTTAAAGTACCATTTAGCGACTTCATTCTAGTTTTATAGAATTTCCAATAAACAGTCAACAGCCAATTAAAAATTAATTGGAATAAAGAATGCACAGATTCGTTTTCCAAGCATCTATTTTACAAATGTAGACCTAACGAATTCGCTGGAGCAGGTCTTTTACTCTTTTACGATATTGTTACTAAGGACTTCAGAAAGAAATGGCATCATTAATTAGAACCAAACTACGTTGTAATGCTAACTTTTTATTTGCTGTCTACTATTACTATTTTTCACTGCAGGGTATGGTGTGAAGTAGAACCACTGTAAGGCTGAGATCTTGACAAAACATGGACTCGTTGCCAGATCGAACCCCACAACTACCTCTTCCGGGGACTCACTTATTACCCACTGCGCTACTGTTGCCTTTGGTTTGCCTTTCCCTCAGCCAGTATTCTATCCAACGCTGCCATTAGCAATCACCCGTCAACGGTAATGATTTGGGGAGCACAAATCGGCACTGAAGCCAGTTAATTTCGGCTGTAGTCGAAATCATAATGTATAACTTGTAACTAACATTGAGAGTTCGACTACACCCTCAGATTAATAGGGTTCAATGGTGATTTGTGCTTCCAAGATCTTCCCGTTGACGGATGATTGCAAATGGCTCCCTTAGGGCAAAAACTGGATGAAAGCAAGGCAGAACGAAGCCCCTTAATCGGTGCAATGGGGAACACGTGAGCACCAGGATGTGGTAATCGTGCATTCGAATCTGGCCTGATGTTTAAGTTTTTCAAATATCTTAGCATCATTATAATTAAAAGCTCTAAAGCATTTGAAGGATAACGCTTTTGGCGTTGATCAATCTCTGAGCGATGCGCTATGCATTAAACTTCATTTAGGAAAGTTAAAGGTGACTGAATGCATATCTGCCCTTTAAAATGACTCGCGGTGGCCTAACAATGTATCGGGCCAGTGCCGCTATCCTACCAGACAAGTCTGCTACCAATTTATCGACCGTGGAGGGATGGAAGGGTTGGTGGCGTGGAGACCGATCCCATGTCTAACGCAGGACCCCTCCAACCGCTGAGCTGCACGCGCCTCCTTCATTGTGGTTATGTTACAATTACTGAACAAGACTTTCTAGTCTTACTGTCCTTGTTTGCGATTGACCTTTTGTGGAACATCTACTGTCTCTATCATGTTAGCAGACCAGGCAAAGTTTTCCAAGCGACTACAGTATCCACATTTCTTAACAATGAAATCCTTTTTTACCGACATAGTATTCAAATGTTTTAATCATTTGCGTAATCGACATCACTTCAAATGATTTCTCCACAATTGTCTGCCAATTTTCTGGTTTCATATCAAGAAAGTGGTGTCTTAAACAAACTAATTTTTCACCAGGATCCAGAACTCGGACTTAAAAAGATTCCGAAAAGACACGGATGGTGATGGAAACTACTTAAGAATTTCAGTGACGTTCCTACATCACAAATTCTTTAACCTTTACGATACGCTGGCATGTGTTGTCATGCTGGAGAGTCGGTCACTATGTCCATGATTTCAACGTCTGTGAAAGACTCCATTCCAGAAACGTCTCACTTGCTAGCAGTATACCAGCTCACTGACGATTGTCTGATTTCTCTACAGCAACTCGAAGTGAATCATACCCTCTTACCTCCACTAAGCGTCGAACAGTTTCTAATGAGGATGATGAGTCAGCCTTAACATCGACGTTCGAATGCGAAGGCTAATATTCCATTTCACTGAATACAACATGTTTCATGTTGGATTTGCACTTTCTAACTCACAGACACAGAAACGATGAGATGTCGAAGACCCTCCTTCATCCCTAAGCTCAACTACAACTGATTAATTCTATAGTAATAACGAGAACGTAGCATCATACCAATGCTAAATAAGGGAATAACCGCATACAAACTAGTACGTAGGATTCGAGGATATAAAACACAATGAAATACCTAGTGGTGGCGAATAAATTGAACGCTTAGAGCAGCAGCTTTTACCAACAGTAATCAAACAACAAGCACTAGTAAAAAAGCTTCAATAAGAAGAATCAGTTAGGAACACGTCAACAATAAGTTGTCGCATATTTTCTGGCCTGTACGATACAAATACCTCCAACTTTTCACCTGACGACCAAGACAACAGTAGCAAATTCCCTTCAGAAAGTTCATATGATGAACTGTGAGTTTCTCAGCAATAGTGGCACCATCCCGAATCACAAAAGCATGTTCACACCTGTCTTCATCCAACACAACATGGCCATGTGGTAGGCAACCCTTCATATGGTACCTTAAAGAAACATGCTTAACCGACATCAACTATTGGTTAGCTTTGACCAATTAGTACGATAGAAAAAACGGGTAAAAACCGTTATGAACTAGTCAAAGTAATGAAGGGAGACTGTTTGACAATTCTGTCAACAAAACAAACCAAATTCTTTAGGGCACCACTCGTCCACTACTCCATAGTAGAAGCAAAGCAGCGTCTTGCACAGAATCAGTGAGTTGTCGAAAACAGTTACCCAAAAGACATTATGAATTAAAAGCAGCTCATAAATAGCAATTTCGCTCATTTGAGAAAAAGTTCTCACCTTACACGATTCATCATGCGCTAAGTGAATAATATTTCGAAAGATGTTCACATTAAGGAGTTCTGCTGCTGATGTGATCAGATCATTGGGACCTAAACTGCAGTGCACTTCACCATTCGACAGTACTACAGCTGCGTGGGACAAAAGCGTACCGAGTTGCCATTAAGATACCACGAAATCAGCCATTTCTTCACATTTGCAGACAAGCAATCCAACCAAAACGATACCATTTTGGCAAGTCAGCCATTTGTATTCAAAGTCTAAAAGGTGATAACTCGCACTTTGTTTGCGACCTATTTTCAAAAGAGATTACAAACCAACACTACCGAACAAAGCCAAACTTGAATCAATATCTCACTTCCTTATTAAGCGGTTTTCGGGGAAGATTGCATCGCATATGAACCGATACATCGAAAGGAAGCACAAAAGTGGAAAAGTCGGAAATTAATCACTGTAAAAACAAAAACGAACTGTGCAACGACTCCTTCAAGGCGCACGACATTCGGAGACAGCCATTTTCTCAACAGTGGGAAAAAGCCCCATGGCGTTCTTAACGTTGAAGTCGTCCTTCATATATGGAAGTAGCCTCCAAAATGCGACAAATCGGGATGGAAGTACAGAAAAAGGTGGAATCGCTGATGTTCTAAGGCCGACAGGAACATTACAAATGAACGAAGTACGTTTCCACCAAATCGAATTTTTCTCCGTTTACACCTCCCAGGAATTCTGTGGTTGCATTCCTTTCTGAAGAGCTCTATTAAAAGTACTCATGAATAGTATATGACTAAGAACTAGATTACCATTTGTGGATCTCAACAATCTTGGTAGTAACAAGACCCGAGAAATACTGTAACCCTCACGAATGGTCATTTAATTGGATATTTATTACAAATGCAATTGCAATCTAGTACATGATGGTGTCCGACGCTCATCAAGCGGAAGTGAACACCTATGATGCTTTTTTTGAAACAGGATCTTCTTAAGCGACTGCAAGTTTGTACTTAGTTATGTCTTGTTAGCTATACCTCCTAACGGTTTACTGCCTCATCGTGGCTGAGAGGTGTTCCTGGGTGTCGGGCTGCGATGTACAGCGGAGGTATTCACTCACCTAGCATGGTCTCCCAAGCTGAGGAGTCCAGCGTTTCCATTAGGAAGCCCAGCTCAGAGTATAAGGATCCGCCATTGTCCTAAGATCAAACTAGTCGCATGGTGGAAGATATTCCTCTGATAAACAAGGACGGCGACTGTCTGTCGTGGTGACGATCTGGGGCAGAATTTGGCTGGGCTGACCTAGGGACTCTAGGGAAGTACAACAGTTAAACAGCTAAACTCCGAAAAAACGGAGATTATGCTGGGGTCCGCATAACCGGTGAGCACGGGCCGTCCAAATATCCAAATGTCTTGTTAGAGTAAAAATGCATGGCAAAATCAAAGCATACAAAGCTCATAAATCAAAAGATCTATAGAAAGTCGGCAAAGTTAGAGGTAACACTTCAACACTATGTTCAGTCTACCACGAAGAATTAGAAAGAAGTATAAATCTCAAGCGAATACCTAAGCATCATGCATGCACCTATGCTGTGTCCGAGAACACTTGCCTTTTGAGTCCTAGGCAAGTGCTCCCGTGCGAAGTCGTATTTGTGTTGCACTTGATCGTCGAGTTTGAACCGGTCTGAAGGGAAACGAATGGACAACGAAATCTACGAAATCAGATCTACAAGAAACTATGCCCAGAAGGTTAATGAAAGTGCGTATGAACGGGTGTGGGAAAAAGTCGAATTTAACATCAAGAGTAAGGAATTCAGAATAAAACACTGGAGCAACGTGGATCAAACGTAAACAACGTAAAGAGAAAACTGCAGAGGAAGAACGGAAGAGAAAGGTAAATGAATAGTGAAATCTCTTTGAACACCGCTATAATGGGAGACATCAACACAGCCACTGAAGAGTTGGCAACGAAGGATAGATAATGATCGTCAAGGTCAAGCTCCAAATGGTTCCAGAGACACAGGATTGCTTTTAAGAGCTCCTGGTCTCTAGAACCATTTGGAGGTAGAGATCCAAATCATAGAGAAAGGAATGACAATAGTTCAACAAACAACAACTTACCACAGTGCCTGTGCTTTCCAGAACACCTCAATTCATCCGGTAAAACTACAGGATTGAGATGGGACACTGCATAGAATAGATAGCGACGTTCAGGAAAACCCACACGTTCATTTCTCGATAGCAGACACCTCAAGAGCTTTTGGCCAAAATCAGCATAAAATCCATCATTATCAGGATTCCCTAAACAATCACAAAAAGGTTAAGTTAATAGAAAGAAAAACAATGTTATAAGTAACGAATCTCACCAGGTATCATCAAAACAACCACACGATTACCGATGTTGTCTCTCATCTCAGGAAAGGTTTCCCTCGAGGGATCCGTACCCATGACAGAAACACGAGTCCAGCGATCTCCTACGAGCACCCAGTTGACATATCTGCTGAACTCGCACGGCATCCTGAAATACACATTATCAACATGAATACACGGATATCTTCAAATTCATGTGATAGATGAGCGTACTAAACACCTTAACACCCACATCCGAAAAAATCCCAACTGACAAGTTGAAGTGGGCATTCAGAATTCTGGAAATTTCAGCTGGACATCATAACTGCAGTTGAAGACGGTAATCGACACCCAGAGCTTGAGTCGAATCCCCACGTTCGCAAACGCTTTTCTGCGTCCCCCTGAGGTCGGACGTCCCCCTGAGGAATTCATCCCATCAGCTGCACGACAATGCTCGTTTGCCGAGAGCAACAACCCGAAGACGAACGAAACAGTAACCTGTGCACAAACAGCACTCGGACGTCAAAGGTGATTTATAGAAGCACTACTGAAGCCAAATCGTGCTCTATAACATCAGAAATGCTAAGAAGAACACGTTAACACGAACCAGTCAACACTAGAAAACAAGCATCTACTCTGAAATGGAAGAAGTTTGTACTACAAGGGGCGCTTGCTGCTTGATAGGAACTTCCGGTTCACACATCACTGACTCGTTTTGTTTTTACGTTAATGAGAATAAAGTAGGAAAACCAAAGACATTTGACAGAAACTCACGTAACTAACATCCAAATGACCCGCTTCCAGGTAAAGTCGGGCGAATCCTATCACAGTTTGCATTTCATCAGTGTTTTGATAAGCTGGTGCGAGTTTTCCTTTTACTTGGAACCCAATCACAGCCATGCCGAACGGTACTCATTTGAAAGATATAAGCAAACAACTCTACGATCCGGAGTTTTCTGGTAACTCTGAGGTGCTATCAAACAGAGCTTAACAACATCCTTAGAAGAAAGCGACAGATGGCGAAAACTGACCTCGTCCAACACCAGAGCTATCCAGCGGGAGTTACGGTAATTAAATAATGATTTGTGCAGTATTGCGTAAACGCGTAAACTCAAGGGAAGTGAGGGAAGGGTTGTTTAGTTGTTTTCAAAATATCCTTATCAATCTGTGGTGTTTTCATGCTGTTTGGAACAGTTGAACTTCTTATCTGTAGCGAATCTTAGTGTACGTGATAAAAAATTTTTCATTGTTACTTAATGATGTCACTAACTTTCAGGATATTACTCTTTAACAATTACTAAGTTCCAGTAACCCATAGGGAGTCGTCGAAGGCTCGCAATACATTCAGGACGCACGGCTTTACTCCGTCCTCTTCTCAACATAGAGCGCCACCATGGGCGAGTTTCTGTTCTCTTTTCTTCCTTTGTTGTTTAAACCTCGACTTTGAGGTGAGAAGGGAGGCTGGATATCTGTGCGTTTCTCTGTTGTATTGGTTTCTGTAGCGATGCTCACCTCTGTGCTGATCCATGTGTCGGTGCAGTACAAGAGTTGTATTGTGTTACTTGTATTTCTTCCTTGTATTGGTAGAGGAGGACTTATGAGGACCACTAGACTGCTTCGTTAGGTAGGGAATGCCGAAGTCGTTGATTATTCGGTCATTGCGCTTCTAAACGTACGTTTGAGAACGTCGTCATCGATCCTCACACGTACGTACTTTTTTTTAAGGACTGGAGACCTTTGTGCGTTTGTAATAGTTGCGAGAAATGGCCGTTCTCTAACAAACTTCTCAATGCTTTCGCACGAATTCATCTATGTTGCAAATATTGAAAATCGATTGCATTGCATGTATCTCAACTAGTTCTATCGATCTTTTTTGCCATCAGCAATCACCCGTCAACGGGATTGATCTGGGCAGCCAATATCGGCATTGAACCCAGTTAAGCTGAGGCCTCGTTATAATCACAATCTTAGCTCTTTTATTTACTGCCTTTTTCTTCTTAATGGCAGGGTATGTTGTGAAATATAACTCGTATGAAGTGCTGAGATATCTGCAAAACTCCAGACCACAGGTGTATGCAGTGGGGAACGAACACGCGCTGTTGTCCTTACCGGGGAGCAGCGCACTTCACCACTACACCATCCGGGTCCTTCGCTTTGCATGGATCTCAGCTAGTTCTATCGATCTTTTTGAAGAAGAAAAAGGCAGTAAATAAAAGAGTTAAGATTGTGATTATAACGAGGCCTCAGCTTAACTGGGTTCAATGCCGTTATTGGCTCCCCAGATCAATCCCGTTGACGGGTGATTGCTGATGGCAAAAAAGATCGATAGAACTAGCTGAGATACATGCAAAGCG